CCCACACCTGGGAGGGGAGAGCTTCAGAGCCAGGAGCCATTTCAGTTGCCCAGCAGGGGGTGTATTGCGAAAGGGGTTTGAGCCTTGAAAGTAAAATTAAATTTGGCAAAGTTGCCTCAACTAAAGTACTTTCCAGGAACTGTCCAATGAGGTCCTATTACCACAGGGTCATGAAATTATAGCACTTCGATGGAATGACCAAATAGTGAGAAAGTCACTGGCGTGCTTCAGTTCCTGAAACTTGCATGCGTTAAAACGAAATCAGAACTTTCTGAGTAAGACTTAAAATAATTCTGTAGCAAAGCTGACTTGATGGCAAACTCTTCTTCATACACCTGTGCCCCATGCAGAAGCCTTTCCCCAGGCGGCAGAATTCCCTGCCGTTTCATTAAATCACCTAGTACTGAAGGAGCTATTTGACCCACCCCGGGTGCCGGGGCACGCAGCAAATAAGATAAGCAAGTCCTCGCTTCTCAGAATTCAGTCTAGAGGGGAGAGGAAAGCGAAAGGATGGTGACAAATGCTGTCATCTGAAGGGCAGGACCTGAAGTGGCCCCTAGTAGGGGCCAGAAGTAAGTGCCTGGAGGGAGCTGAGCGTGGCTGGCTGGGTGGAGGTGGGCAGCTTGCGGGAGAGGCGGACCTCAGAGTTGTGTCTGCACTGATGCTCAGATTAACGAAGCAACATGATTCGCTCGGGGGGACCGTCCAAGTGTACAATTCAGTGATTTTTTTAGCACAATTACAGGGCTGTGCAACCATCACTGCAATCTACTTGTAGAACATTTCTGTCACCCCAAGGAGTTCCCTCGTGCCCATTTGCAATTATTCCCCATTCCTATTATCAGGCCCTGGCAACCACTATCTACTTTCTGTTTCTATAGATTTGTCTTTTTTGGACATTTTGTATAAATGGAATCCTATAATATGTGGGCTTTTTGCATCCAGCTTCTTTAATTTAGATAATATTTTTGAGGTCCATGTGTGTTGCAGCATGTATCAGCATTTTATTTCTTTATATTACCAAACAGTATTCTATCGTATGGATAGATACACTGCATTTCATTTACCCATTACCGGTTGATGAAATTTGAATTGTTTTTACTCGTTAGCCATTGTGAGTAATGTTGCTATGAGTATTTGTGTACAAGTCTTTGCGTGGATAAATGTTTTCATTTCTCTTGAATAGATATCCAGGAGTGGAATTGCTTGGTTTTAAGTAAATCTACGTTTAACTTTTTTAGAAACTGCTAAACTATTTTCCAAAGCAACTACACCGTTTTACATTCCCATGAGCAGTGGGAATTTCTCTACGACCTTGCCCACACTTGTTATGTCTTTTTAATTATAGCCATCCTTGTGGATGTGAAGTAGCATCTTGTTGTGGCTTTGATTTGCATCTCCCTGATGACTAAGCATGTCGAGCATCTTTTCATGTGCTTATTCCCACATCTTCTTGGAGACACCGTTTTAAAGCGGTGAATTTTCCACCGCTCGTAGGAGATTATGACTTTCCTCTAATTCTATGGTGGAAGGGTTCAATGACTTTTCCAGGAAGCCCCTCCTGATAGCTCTTGTCTATACTGGTCTCTCTTTTCTCTTCAATTTGAAAGCACAAGTCAGGTCATATCTGAGGTCTGACCCCCTCCAGAGGAACTTACCCCGAAACTCAGAAAAAGCTGAAGCTCCCTGCCCCTCTCCAGCCTCCTCTCCCGCCACACTCTCCCTCTTCCCTGGCTTGTTTTGCTGGAGCCATAGTGGGCTTGGAGTATGCCGTGCCCCTCCCTGCCTGGGGCCTTTGCACTG